AGCTTGACCCGAATTAGTCAAGATTTAATATAACTTGGACACCGCGGAATGGTTAAACAACAACAACAACAATAATGAAAAAAATGTAAATGTATACATCTGCTTGTACGACTCTGATATCTTGTGCATATTGAAAAACTTTGTGTCAATTACTTGTGTATTCCTGTAAATAATTAATTTTTGAGAAAATTGATTTTGTGGAGGGAATATTCCAATGCGTATATACATCAAAGTAATTAATTTTTTTAAGTTATTTAAATTTTGCTTGAGATCCTACAAGGGAGAAGATAATGCCTGTGAGGAAGTGCTGAGTATGCATAAATACTTATCCGCACTCACTTATTTGTGGATGGAGAAGAACTAATAATAGAAGAAAAAAATTAATTAGCTAAGAAAATAAGTGGAAAATTAGACTTCTGTTTCTCATTGTTTTGGATAGCAAAAAAATTATAATAATAAAGAATAGTGAGGAAAAGAAGCATGGACCACTACATGTTTTTCACTACAATTTTTCCCCCTAAAGTATAAAGAGATAAATTCTGAAAAAAGAAAGAACCTTTTTGAACAGCCCAAACATGAGAAAAAGGGGCATGTCGCGGATATATATGTTTTTTTTCATACAAGTATTATTATCATGGTGAAATTAGTCTCTTGTCTTTCTCATGTATTTTCTTTTATATTCATTCATCCAAACATTGGAAAAGAAAACATTTTTTTCCTATTTTTCCCTTCCTGTCATTTTCTTTTTGGTCGTGCATTCATAAGTATCAATTTTATTGAAGGTAATTATATTCAAAACACGATCGAGCATTAAATATGAACATATATTTCAATAAAAATTTTGAATCTTAATTCATTATATTATGATATATGATTTTTTTAATATCTAATTCTCCTTATTGTTTTCTTTTCTTTAATTGATTTATTCTGTTTTCTTGCAGAGTAAAAAAAAAACAATATGAGTAAATTTTGTATTAAAATTTTTTTATCTTATAATTAAATGATAAGAGGAAAAATATATAAATTAGTTAAATAGGTATAAAATATTAATAAATATAATCAAATATAATCCAAAATATATACATATTTATTTGTAAATTATGCCATTGTCAAATTCTCCCACATTTAGCCTTTTGCTTGTCCTCAAGCAATTACTACTTGTGTTTAGTTTTATTCCTTACATGAATATATTAAGAGCACAAATTATTTCTTCTACTTCATTGATGTCGTCCTCGTGAATGCTTCAGATAATAACTCTTTGAATATTTTCTTCTCGAGCTAAGACTTGGAACGAAAGCAAGAAAATTAGAAAGACTGACGTGTTGTAGGTCTCATAAATATGAAAATAAATGATATTTAGTCAAAATTGATAATAAGGTGTTAGATTATTCATTTTTTATAGTAGAAGCTACTTAGTGCTTCTTGAAAAATAATTCGTGACTAAATTTATATCGCTACATGTCATTTATGACTCCACATAACATCCATTGAGTAAAGTTAATTGTGAACTTCTGGATACTTTATTTTTTAAAGTTAAGGATTTATATTTTTTGCACTATTTAATAGTATAAGCTACCCAATACTCATGAAAAAATAGTTGGTAGCTAAATTAGTACCTTTACCCTTGATTTATTCTTTTTTTCCTGCATAATATAAAAACAAGAAGATATGAGTATATTTTGTATTAAAAATTCTTTTTCATCTTATAATTAAGTGATAAGAGGAATATATATATAAATTAGTTACATAGGTATAAAATATTAATAAATATAATGAAATATAATACAAAATATATAACTATTTTTATGTAAAACATGCTCTTATTATCAGCCCTTGAATGTGATTTTTCCTCGTTTGTATTGTATTTATAAGGTTTTTTTTTTTCACTGTGATATAGTTCCATTTTGCTATATTTATTTTCTCCTTTTTTTTCCTGTCATTGTAGGGCTCTCATTTTGTATAATGGTTAATTCTTTTATACACTAGCAGTTTTACTTTACATGTCTAGTAATTAGTTCCTTTAATGTTATGGAAATATATGTATTAGTTATATATGATTAATGAAATCTTTTAGGAAAAACACAATCATTAATCTCTATAATTTTATTGAGTTTTACTTTTAGTCCTTATAATTTATTTTCAATTTTTTCAGCTCTTATAGTCTTTGTAATTTGACATCATTAGAGACTTAAAGAACAAAAGTCATACAATCTTGATGAAATTGTAGAGACTGAAAGTATTGAAAAAAATTATAAGAATTAAAAGTAAAACTCAGTAAAATTATAAAAATTAATAATCATGTTTTTCCAATAGTACCATAGTATACTTGTTTAGCAGTGAAATTCTTTTATACTATGGTAGTATATGTTATGTTTAGTATTGTGGGAAGGTATTCACAACATACTAGATGATAGATATATCTTTCCATATATTATATATACTTTACAGTAATGATATTGATAGGCACTATTCTTTATAATTGATTATATAACTATAAATTTATGTTAGGCGCCGTTAATTGTGAATTAGCATTAATTACGAGCATATTAAAATCTATCTCCAAAGCATAGTGCGCTTTGAAAGGAACATAAATATGTCAAATCTAATGTAAGATACTTTCCAAACTGTAGCTTCCAATAATGCATTAAAAAAAAACTACAAAATGCCTTGTCCTTTTGTCGTATAATCCCAAAATTAAAGGAAAAGCAAGATCCCATGATGTTTTACTCCTTGACAACAACATTCCTTAATATTTGAGACTTCCATTAGTGAATTCAATAATTAATCCATCTGATTAAATCAATAAAAAAATTACTCCCCACCATTGCTCTCGCATTTCTCTGAATTCATAATTGTTGCATTCTCAGGGCTACATCTATCCAATTAACTTTGGTTTATTTTATCCAATATTATATCATTCAATGTTTTTCCTTTAGGAAAAGTTTGGGGTAATGATTTTGAGACAACAAAATATATTTCTCAATCAATCAACTTACATTATTGACAAAAAATATTCATAACAAAAAATTCATATATATATATATATATATTATATCATATATAGTAGGATTAAAGGGTAAAAATATCTTAAAAAGTTTTTAAAAAATTATGAGTACCCTTACCTTTTAATTGAAGTAATATCATCTTGAAATTTTTTAAAAGGGAGCAATATTCATTGTAGAGTCAGGAATAAAGACCAAACTTGAGGGTCGAGCCTAGAAACCCTGTTTAAATAAGAGTTTGTATTTTAACAATTAAAATTTTTTAAAATAATCAGGCTTAAGAGCCTGACCTTGATAAATCTTGTAAAAAGAGGTTTGGGCTCAAGCTCGGGCTTGAGCGGCCCTTCAAAGCCTGTTATATTATTATTAAATTTTTTCTTTGGCAAAACATGCGTTTGAAGCAAAGAAAGACTTGTTCGTTTGAAACTATAATCCTATACGTGTTATATTATTATTAGTTTTAATTTATTTTAAAATTAATTTAATAAATACCAGTGTATAATATAAAATTTATAATATTTTTTATTTTTCTATAGTTATTATGTTTGTGTATTTATAAAAAAATAAACTGTTTTTTAATCAAGATTTAAATTTTATTATTAAACTTTTAAATATATGTTATTTATTTTTTAAAAATTATTAAAATTTTATTTTTTAAAATTTTAAAATATTTTAATTAGTTTATAATGTTTAATTTTATTTTATTTTTTTAAACTCTTTAAATAAAGATTAAATTAAAAAAAATGAAAAATGAGAAATCGGGTTAAGGGAGCTCGCCCGTCTCGCAGCTCTGGCGCCTCCGGTGAACCCAGAATGGCATTGACGTTGACCTAAAAATATTGACGTGTTGAGCTGATCTTCTTCTTCTTCTTCCTCAACTTCTTCTTCTCTCTCTCCCCCTTCTCACCCTCTTAGCTCGTTGAACCTTGAACTATCCCTCTTTGCCATCACTCCGGCAACCACCACACCAACAATATTTGTCGCTGTCGTTGCCACGTGACTCTCCTCCCTCAGGTATCTCTCTGGGTGCAGGGCTCGGAGTATCTGCATCGGATCGAGATCTTTTAGCCATGGCTCGCCTTTTTTGGAACATTTAGTTGATTCCCTCTAGACGAGTCGATGTTCATAATCATGCTAGCGAGCTTGTATTTGTCGACCATCCTTCCCATATTCTTGCCAATTACTCTCAGAGATCCGATTTTCCAAGATACTATTAGCCATTATTATTATTATTATTATTATTAGTGCCTTGTAATAAGCTTGTGTTGTAGTCCAGAAACGCTTCTGCGGACATGCAATTGCAAATGCAATGAATAATAAAAAGAAATGCAAGGAGTATTTTCTCTTTTCCTTCCTTGATTTTCCTTTCTGTTCACCATTTTTGGACTTCTCCAACTTGAAAGTACAAAAAAGAAATAGAAAAAGAAAATTGGTGATAAGTGTAACATTTTCATACATTAAAAAAATTTTGTCAGTCAGATATTAGTCAAAAGTTAAAAAAGAATAACATTTCTTTACTTCTAATACTTTTGGAGTGACATTATTCCTTTTGAAACGCAAAGGTATTCATAATTAGTTTTAAAAAAATTTTAAAATATTTTTATCTCTTGACATTATATAATATGTCAAATTTAGTGCCTGAGCCTCGAATATAATTATTTTCAATAAAAAAAATATATGATGAATTAAACAAAATAAAACGTGTATATATATATAATTATTTTAAATGGACGATGAAAATTATATAATAACTCTTAAAAAAACAATTGAGATTGTAAATTAGGAAAAATAATATCCTGCTTTGCTTTGAGAAAAAGCATTGCCGTCCATTTCATTATATTCTTTATCATCATCTGTTTTGCTTTCAAAAGGTAATTAACATTAATACAAATATAATATCACTTTGAAAAGATTGAACTGATTGTTTCTTTTGAGAGGGAGCGTCAAGCAGGTTGCTTTGATTGATCTTTGAAAAAGTAAACAAAATAACCAAACAAATTAAAACTGAGAAGTGATATGACTATAATTCACAACTCTTACAAGGTCCTACAGCAAAACAAGAAACTACATTTCTACAAACACAAAAAATAAAAATCTGTTCCCCTAGTGGCCAAACACGGAGACAAAACTTACATTACAAGCAGCAGAAAACAAATTGAATAAACAAAGCATACATGGTTATGGCTGTCTGGTTTCAGTTCACATAACAGAACAAGCATTAGGGTTTTCATCACTGAAGAAAGAAGTGAGCTTCTCATCAGGAGCATGAGGGTTAGGAAGTGCTTGGACAGCGTTTCTGACATACCCAGAAGGAGCCTTCTTATCGTAAGCCTGAGCCACATAAGGGTACGCGACTAGGTTATAGGGTATGTATGGCCAAAACTCTGCCCTTTTTCCTGTGCTCTTCACTTTCTTCAACACCTTGTTTGGATCCACATATCCTGTCACTGTTACTCTGCTTTGCTTCCTGTTCACATCCACTTCCTTCACCCCTGCATCATCATTCACATCTTGAGTTGTTAACTCATCATCTTGTGTGTGTTTGGAAACCAGTTTGCAAAAGGAAGTTTATGGGCTCTCTGATTAAAAAACATGACTTTTATTATCTGATTTGGATTTGGCTCTCGTTGACAGGAAATCAAACATTCCCTTAATAGCCCTCGTCTTGTTAAACTGCAACCTAGTGGCTAGTGGGTATTGTTACTTTTGTTTGAATATATGTTACAGTAGACCTAGGAAATTTAAGATGACTCTGATGATATTAATGGCTTCTTTTCCATTATATGAGACTTTTCTCAGCTAAAGATGGTCAGAACTTTTTTCTGCAACTTGTGACTTCTTCTGATCTCTCTCTCTCTCTCTCTCTCTCTCTCTCTCTCTCATTGTTTTGAGGACCTTTAGTGCTAAATTATGATGTTGGTTAAACACTGCTCCACAAAACAGATTATGTCAGAATTCAAATTAAGGCTGTCCTACATGAGCTTACTTAAGGTATCTTTGATTGGCTTAATTTCTGATTTTCCTGTTTTTGAGAGAGAGAGAGAGAGAGAGAGAGAGTCATGAACCTTTCATGCCGGAAACAGAATGCTTAACTCTTCTTTCACAGCCATCGCAATCCATTTTCACCTTGATTTCAACGGTCTACAAGATACACAGAACAACAAGAAAAAAAAAAATCAGAACTCGCAAAAAATTCTTACTATTTATTCACATGCAATTACTTCTACTACGGAAACCTATTTATCAGTAAGGCACACACGAAGAAACAGAGTACGAAGCAGGGTGGGAGAAGACAGATAACCTGCATTGCCTTGCGTTTCTTCTTTGGCGTAGAAACTGAGAAGTAATCTGAGAGAAAATCAAGAGCACCCATCTCTTTTTTCTTATTGTTTTGGCAACGAAAAGGCTCTCAGAGAGAGAGAGAGAGAGAGAGAGAGAGAGAGAGAGAGAGAGAGAGAATTCAATTACAAAGGAACACAGAACAGAGTATATTGCAGAGAGAGAAACAGAGGAGAATGAAAGAAGAGGAGTTTTTAAAGACAGTAGCAGGTTAAGAAGGCAGATGGCTGCATTAATTTGTGCATATATAGAAGAAGAAAGTTGTGAGAGAAAATTGTGGAAAATAATATTAATAATAGTGATTAATAATATAAGACGGTTTGATAATGACTTGTGTTTGTGTCTTTGTAATCATACTTCCCCCTGAATATGAAGAAAGACAACTGGGCCTATGAGCTTCAGCAACCTGACAACATTGAGTAAATTATTGAACGTCCCTGCTAGAATTTATTTTCATCCCCACTTTCTTCTACTTTATGTAAATATGTCCCATTGATTTATTATATTTATTATATTTATAGCATAAAAATCAAGGTGAACTTAACCAATTCAATAAAATATTTTATTTATAAATAATTTGATCATATTTTGGTTAAAGTTTTAATCATTATTTTTAAAATTAATATTTTAACTGATTCAATGGCAAGTTAGTTTTCAGTACCTTAATCATCTTAAAGAATGTAATATTATCCAATTAATTCTATTATTTAAATGTTAGATATGCTTTCTAAGACATGAAGCCCTGTTTGATGTAATATTTATTCCAGCAAGTTTTGTTGCGTTCAGAATATTATTGGGTCATGAAAGTTTTTGACAATTTTTAATTGCCATTACCTAAAAAAAACTTTAATTAGTTTAAGTGGGTTGGCACTTTTTTTTTCTAAAATAAAAAAGGTAACGAGTTCAAGTTATGCATATGAAAGAAAAATTGTTGCTGCGAGCGCTTTACCGCTAACTGTTTTTGTTTCAACTTGATTTGGATCTTAGTCAAGTTCTAACATGATTTACAGAAATAAGTCAGTATTTTTTTATTCAATAAACAAGTTGATAAAAATCTAATTCCGTAAAAATTTAAATTGTTAGATTAAAATTAAAGAAATATAATAAAAATTATAATTGGGTTGTGAGAGTAAATAAGGTCAAGGGCAAAGGGTTCGAATTTTACTAATCAACGACAACAATAAACATTACTCCCTCCGGTCTTATATCTTATTATTTATAGAGAAAAATGAGAGGATATTTTTTATTTTATTTATAAGTCATACCATTAAATTTTCATCACAATTTTTTTTACCTATTGAATGTTTGAGAAAAAAAATATATTGTGAAAATATGTATATTTAATATAGGTAATGTTGAAAACTTTTTAAATTTTTAGACAAATTAATAAATTTTAAAATTTTCCTTAATTTTGATGATACATGTTAAAAGAAATTTATAAATAGAATCAGAAGAAGAGTATTGTTTTAACCTTGTAAAAGTGATCTGATTAGATGAGGATAGGTTTAAATTTTTCAAATAAGGAAAAAGATTTATGTTTTTAAAACATTTTTTCTTTTAAAATAAAAAATTAAAAAATTCATTTAGGTAAGTATTTTGAATTTAGATATTTTTAAAACTATTCTATTTTTTAAAGAAAAATTAAAACATCTTAGAGTTATTTTTAATTTTTTATTTAAAGACACTAATTTAACTATTGTAAACTATTAACTATGGCTAACTACTATGATATGTCACTATTATTAATCACCAGCCACTATCTATCAATTTTTTAACCCTAAAATTGTTTTTAAATGGATGTAATCAAACAATTTTTTTGTTTTGTTTTCAAAATAATTTTTAAAAACAAAAATTGGAGGAAAAAAAGCAACCACTAAATTTGTTTAATGGAATGGAAAAATATGCTTAAATCTAAATTAGTTGTTAATTAATACCATATTTCAGAAACTTGCTAAAATATTCAAGAAAAAGATGTTAGTCATGCAGCCATGAAACACGTAATTTAAAGTAAAATCTGTTAGAAAAAGAAGGAGGAGCCTAGCTGGTTTCTTTAGGCCCAAGAAATGGAGACACATGAATCAAATTGATAAGCTCGACTATCATTGTGTTCTTGGTTCAATTAGTAAAAAAATTGATCCAACTTAATTAAAAATTTCAAGTTCAATCTCTAAATATATAGTAGTGATTAAATTCTTGATAGAAGGATATCTTTTAAAGAAGGAAAGATAAAACCTTTCGTCTTAGTAATTTCATCGAGTTTCTCTTCAGTCTTTATAGTTTTTTTTAATGTTTTAAGGACTAAAACCATTGAAAAAATAAAATTTATATATATTTGAAAAATAAAAATCTCCTAATTTTTTTAAAATTATTGAAACTAAAAATATTTAAAAAATTATAAAAATTAAAAATAAAACTTGACAAAATTATTAGAATTACTTCAACCATGTATGGCCAGAACTTGAGATACTAGAGCTATGAGGAAAAAAAAAATTGATTAGCTTTATTTTGAATGTTTTGGAGAAAGTCCAACATAGACATCATGTTCGCACATCTGTATTACGTTAATTTGACTTCCCAGGCCCGCGGTTTCTGTCGGATTTATTTTAATATTTCTTAAGATATTATTATTATTATTATTATTGTCATTATTATGGTGTAACGCTCACGAAATGTACTAAAAGTCTTAATTAATTACCAACTAACAATTACATTAACGTCGTAATTAACGTTATTCATCCTGATACGAAGAATCATAGCCCTCTCCCGCAACTGATAAGGATAAATCATTGAGAAATATAATTAATTATCAATATATCGTGATTAAATTAATTCTATCAATCTATTTGATGCTCATTAATTTCCTCAATTCATTCGTTATATATATATATATATAGTAACTTGATAATTTATCTATTCAATATCTACCCAATACCTTGATTACTGGTTACATATGGCACTTGATAACTTGAACTTAGCTTGTAAAGTTGAAAAGGAAATGAAACTTAAAATAAAATAATAAAAAAGTAAAAAAAAAAATCTCTCTTCTTAAAAAAGAAAAGTAGTCGCGCGTCAATCAATAACTGCATTATTGCAAGTTGCATTCGTAAAATGCGATTGATCATACAGAAAGGGTCAAATCTTTATATATATCACAATAATGTAAATGTCTAATCAATTTCATGAAGGTGACATTTGTTTGAATAGCACACAAAAGAGGTAATAAATTTGAAGTTTAAACTGACCAGATTTGATTTTATTGATATAATATATATATATATATATAAGTTAAATAGGACATAAATAATAAGTTGGTAAAAATAATTAATGATCTGGAGTCTATCTGGGTTGGATGAGTTGGAACCATGAAAATGAGAATTCAGAGTTTTCAGTTTTGATTTCTCACTTTACACTTTGATTACGCGTCTTCTTAGCTGTTGATATGCCCCATGTTTTGAAATCTAATGATTAATTTCATGCAAACAAAAATAATACCATAAGATGCTTCATATACACGTTAAACCAAAAAGTGTATAATAGCTTGTGAGTGTTTAAAATTATATATATATAAGCCAGTGTTGCTAGAACTGGAACTGAACTGGAACAACTGGTTTTAATGGCCAGGCTAAGAACTAGCCATAGGTCGGTCCAGAATCCCTACTTAACAATCGACCAAAAGTGAACCGGTGAAAACCCATCAAAACCGGGCAGAATCGATGAAAAACTTGTCAGAACCGGTTTATCTTGTTCTTTTTAGGAAAATCTAATGGCCCAAAAATATGTTATTTTTCGTTTTTGTTTGTCTTTTGGTTGCTTCTACTTTAGTTTTATACATTCCCTCCACACCATAGTACTGGATATCAACCTAATATGTACGGATTTTGATACATGTAGCAGATATAATATGTATCCAATACTTTGATACCTTTATTTTAAAAATATAAAATATGATTTTTTTGTACGTGTAATATATATATATATATATATTTATAAAAAATAACAAGAACATTAAAAAAATATAATTTTAATTTAGAAAATTCCAAAAAAATTGCATAGATATATAGTCCTATAAAGTAATATCAAGCAAAACACAATCATTACTTGTACTTTTAAAGGCAAATCAAAAAATATATTAGAAATAAAAAATATTAATATCTCAATATTTAACAAAATTTAATTTCTTAAAAATAGTCTTGAAATATCAGCTTTAAAGACTTAACTTACAATTTAAAAGTATCAAATGCTTATCAAAAATAAAAAATTCAAAAATTCAAAATTAGTATTTCGACACTTTATGAATACATGTTGAAGAAGTATTAGTGAATATTAGTATCAGACATAATACTGATATAGATGTGAGGCAATTTGAACCTTCATAGATATCAATAACTACTTCATGATTCTCGATAAAAAGTTAGGTAAAATTTTAATATCTTAAAAAAATTGCATCTTCTCAATTATACTTTTATTAATTACCCTATATAAATGCTTTAATAATAACAATTACAGTTTTAATCCATTATTTTCAAAAAAAATAAATAAATAAAGTATGGGTGTGGTTGAAAAAATTATAAAGACTGCCTAATACTTTATGTTTTAGACCAAGCAAAGTTTTTAAAAAAAGCACAATATATTGTGGTTTAGAAAGGGTATATATATTTGATTATTTGTTAGCGGCTTTAGTTAATTACGAAGCTTGTACTATAGATTAGTTGGACAATTAATCTAGCATGCTTGATTATTTTTTTATTATGTAATAGACAATAAATAATATTTTATGGATATGTATGAAATTATGTTCTTAGTTTGGGTATGTATAAGAAAGATATGAATAAATATTACATGACATAGATATGATGACTATATATGGATAACTATTTCTAAGCTATTTTTTTCATATATATTATTAAAAAATATTATTTTAATTGAGTCTGACCACGGTTTGGTGAACCAGTGCTCTAACTAGTTCATGATCTAATATATTCGATATTGAAAATATTGAAACAAACTGAGAGATGTCTGCTTTGTTTTTTATTTTAATTCAAACAAGGATTTTTATGTATAAATTCATTGTAGTACGTTGTAGTTAACAATTAACAGCTGAAAGCCCTATAAAAAGAACAAACCCTAATCATTGATTAATTGACACTAATCACATCTATAAAGGAACTTTTTTTGTTTTTTTGACAAAGGATAAAGATTGA